CTAATAGTGTTGTAGAAGCAAGAAAGTCTTTCGACTTGTGGGTCACCACTCGTCGGGAGCACATGACTATGTGGAGTATACAAGAATGATTTCATGCTTTATAGTTGATTAAGATGATAACGTAGAGGGATCTCTCACGGAGTAAGTGGAAATGCTCACCCCATTTGTTTTCCACACCCAGTTTTTTGGCGAGCTGGCAATGCAGCGATGGCGAGGGTGGTCACATGTTTTATGTTTATGATATTTATGTTTTAAAAGCTTTCGCTATGCAAAGTTTATTTTATGAAATAAGTCATGGTTCATGCAAGTCAAGTTAAAGTGTAAGTTCTCAAGGCAACGCAATGAATCTTCATGTATGAAATGTTTATGTTCACGAAAAGTTTTAATGTTTATGAGAAGATCATGTATGAAAAGTTTTTCAAAGTGAGTAGCACCCTGAGTTCCAAGTAAAGTTTTCAAAAGTTTTACAAAAAGAAATAAATTTATTCTAGAAATTTAATGTACGAAAAGCGGGGTGTAACAATATCAAACTGCTTGGATAACCATACCTTTACGTCTGACAACATCTTTACACTGTTTCCAATGAGAAGAATATCATCCACGTACAGCACTAGAAACACCACCACGTTTCCATCACTTTTCTTGTACACACAGTGCTCATCCGGACATTAGGTAAATCCATACGATTGGACAATCTCGTCAAAACGGATGTTCTAAGACCTCGAAGCCTGCTTCAGCCCATAAATGGACCTCTTCAGTTTGCAGACCAGATGCTATTGGCCTTTGGCAATGAATCATTCTGGTTGCTTCATATATATGTCCTCGTCCAAATTCCCGTTAAGGAAAGCGGTCTTAACATCCATTTGCCAAATCTCATACTCCATATGAGCGGCCACAGCCAAGAGAATCCAGATGGATTTGAGCATGGCTACCGGCGAAAAGGTTTCCTCATAATCGATCCCTTCTTTCTGAGTGTATCCTTTCGCAACAAGCCTAGCTTTGAAGGTCTCAACCTTCCCATCTGCTCCTTTCTTTCTCTTATAGATCCACTTGCATCCAATGGCGCGAACGCCACTGGGTGGCTCTACAAGATACCAGACCTAATTAGTGTCCATTGACTCTGTTTCGAATTTCATCGCCTTTTGCCAAGACTCTGCGTCCCGATCTTGGAGTGCCTCATTGTATGTCCATGGGTTCAAGAACGTCTGGGACGGCCTCAGAAGACTCTCCCAGACCCATGAACCGTTTGGGCTGCCGGACAACCCTCCCACTACGACGAGGTACTACCTGCTCAGGTGCATCATAGCGATACGTGTTGCAGTATTTTGTGGTGTAACATCAAGCGCACTCGGTATTGAAGTACTCACTCCCTTCAACTCCTCAAGAACATGTCTACTACAGGGCTTATGATCTAAGACATAGTCTTCTTCCAAGAACCTAGCATTCGTGCTAATGATTACTTTCTGGTCCTCGGGACTATAAAATAGACCACATTTCGTTTCCTTAGAATATCCCACAAATAGCCTTACTTCTGATCTCGGTTCTAACTTATCAATATCGGTTCTCAGCACATGGGCTGGACTACCCCAAATCCTGAGATGCCTTAGCCTAGGCTTATGCCCAGACCACAACTCTAATGGTGTAGACGGTACTGATTTAGAAGGTACTCTATTCAAAATGTATACCGTTGTTTCTAGGGCATATCCCCAAAACGAATCTGGCAATGTACTATAACTCATCATTGCCCTAACCATTTCCATAAGAGTCCTATTCCTCCGTTCTGCTATGCCATTCTGCTGAGGCGTGCCAGGCACAGTCAGCTGGGACGTAATCCCATTATCTGTCAAGTAGCTCCTAAATTCATTCGAGAGATATTCGCCACCACGATCTGATCGTAATGACTTGATACTTTTTCCTAGCTGCTTCTCCATAACTGCCTTATACTCCAAGAACTTCTCAAAGCATTCAGACTTGCAGTGCAGAAGGAAAATGTACCCATATCCCGAGTCATCATCGATAA